TGCTTAATTAAGCGAAACGTTTTTTTCTTCAATTTATTGAGGAAGCTGAAGCCAGCTCATAAGTTTCAATCAATAATCAACACAATGAAACAGATACTCCATATGTGTTGTTTTAAGAAATTATTGTGGCAGTTTCAAATATGAATTACATCAAACACTCTATTGAAACTGACGGTATTTGAAACCGTGCTTTGAACTGTTTACACGGAAGTAGAACTATCGTTTCCTATTGTACGTTCCTTGAAACTACCTAAATCATAATAATAATCAAATGTCTTGGCACTAATCGAAATTCACAAAATTTCAAGATCACCACAGCATAATGTTAACAATGAAGTTCTCAGACTCGGAAGTAATTTCGCATGATATCTCGACATTTGCAATTCCAACTGTTCCCCCCCGACCACAAGAATTCTATTATAAGGAGAAAGCGCTAAGCAATAGGAGAATTGTCGCAAAACAAGCTTACAAAGGCCCTTAAACCAAATTTAATGTTGTATTTTTCTCAAAAATAATAATTATATTAATATATTTTTTTTTATATATATAAAATACATTTTTGTAAAAAATTTTTTGTATGAAAAAGAGCAATTAAGTTATTCAAAAACGCGTTAACTATAATAGGTATTCCAATATACGCGAAAAATATAATACATTTATTCAAAATATTATAATCAAATTAATAATTGCATTGCAACAATACTATTGAAAACATCAACGATTTAAGCTCTATACTCTATATATATCAAATTTGTATACTCTATATATATATCAAATTGTTTCTATCATTAATTATTTCTGTCAATTAAAATGTTAAAGTTAATTGTAGCGAAAAATAAAGCATCAATTGTAACGGAAAATAAAAAATGTACAATGCAACCTTATATTGGCAAAATGTATAGAATCGAGATAAATCTTCGCATGCAATGAAAAAGCAAGAAGTGACAAATATTGTATGGTGGTTTATCCGAAGCGATTTATGATTTCAGGTCGAAGTTTATTAGTACACCTACTTAATTTCTTTTTTTATGCAAAATTAAATTTCTTACATTGGTCAATAGTACGATCTGCAAAATCACGCATGACATTTCGATGTCGTAAATTGCGATTATCCGACTGCGACTAATGTATCAACCATATAAAAGATCTATTGGCGTATAGTAATGTTCCATGGCGACTAATCAAATCGTTATTTGAGCTTGAAGTGACATTCCGAAAGTGCAAGTGTTACTTTCATTCAGTATTTCCAAAGAATGCGTTAGTATATCTATATAGAACGTATTATATTACAATAACTATCACAATCAATTACATTTCTCTTAATTACTTGCAAAATTAATTAATTGTAAATTCATTTGCTAGTAATTTTTAATATTGACTCCTCATATGAGCAATTTATATATTTAAAATAAAATATGAATAAATAAAAAGTTGATAAGAAAATATACAATTATGAAGATTTTTAATAATCATTTACTTCGTTGAAACGCATATTCTCTCCATTTTTATTCATCTTTGGTTAGCAGTAATAGAAATAAAAGGAATAATAAGAAATGAAACATATTAAATACATTAAAAAATAAGATATCAAATATTGAATTATTTTAAAAATATTATATGTAATGTTTCTTTAAAAATCGGTTTAATATTACTCTAGATTTTTCTGACAGCAGTTATGTACAAGGACGTGCGATGTAGAACGCATCTCATTAAAATGTCATCATTTGCGTCGCGAACGTCGATTTTCATGGGCAGATAATCGCACGTACGCGATAGACTGCACGTGAAAAGTGCAATCGAGGCGTGGAAGTCTCAAAGGTAAATTCAGCCGCGAGGAAATGCGGGATTACTTCTCAGCCGTTGCCAGTGCATTTGCGTGCAAGCGAGGTACCCAGTCTCTGTAATTTCGCGAAATAGGCCGCGCGGCTGTAGAGAAAGAGAGAAAGACAGAAAGAGGGCGAGAGAGAGAGAGAGAGAGAGAGAGAGAGAGAGAGAGAGACAGAGAGAGAGAGAGAGAGAGAGAAAGATGGATGGACGGATGGCAGGCGCGGTGTGCGATAACAAAGAGAAATACATGAGAAACCAAAGACGAACATGAGGACGTAACATGGCTTGTGTTTCGCGGCCAATGTTTCTCAACTATGTTGCGTACATTGCGTTTCTCAGTACGTTGCTGTAATATCATTTTATCGAATCTACCGTTATGTCGAACTGTTCCGCATCGATGGTACGAACGTCGCAGACGCACGACGTTCGCATAGCAACACCGGAAACTTCGTAATAAAGATGCACTAAATATGTATTACGTCGTTTGTCTGGAATCCATTTCACGAGATCTTAATAGCCACAGATTTCTTGCTAGTAACCGAGAGGAATTCAATGCAAAATACGTCGAATAACCGGTAGACAGCAAATAAGCTCCCATATGCCACAAGTAAGCCGATTATCGCGACGACTAAACGTGTTCAATAACGATAGTAAATATTTGTCAAAGGACGTTGGAAAGATTATCATTCACTGCAGATCGCTGCGCGATTTTCTACCTGGCTGCCTGAGCCCTCAAGAAACCTGTCTATTCGTCGCTATTATTTATTTTATGACAGAGGCAGAAGTATGAAAGAGAGTCCCTTGGGTGATTTCAGACTGATCATAAAATTCTAACACGCTGCCATGCGAAAAATGAGGATAAATAACTTAGCTTTTTTCTTTTCTCAGTTCAACAAGTTGCAACTTCGCAGACGTCTATTATGTTGCCGATATTTTTATTTTTGTTTTTCAAATCAAGATGTTTATTTATACTGCAAATTTATTCTGCAAATATAAGCAACAATTTTTGAAGTGTCAATAATTATATGTCGCAATTATACGTCTTGTAATCAGTTATCAAGAATCATTTGCTGCTTTAAGACTATATAAATATACACTAAAAGAAAAATTTTTTATATCTGTGACTATAATTACATGTTACTATAACTATATGATTATTACTGCTATAATATTAATAATTATATGTATAGTTTTATCAACTATACAAATATGTACGGTTTTATAACGAATAAGTTGGTAATTAAAAATAATTATTTAAGTTATAGTTAAGTTATAGTAATTACAACCATTTTTAGAATTACAATAACTATATAGTAATTTTCGATGCCAACAACATTATGTATAATTATTAATAAAATTATACATAGTTATTATTACTAACAATAATAAATAAAACGATTTATTTATTAATTATTACTAATTTATTATTATTACTAATATTATTACCGATATATATAATATCTAATAATTATAATTATGGTAATACGTATTATATAATTATAGTCATAAATACCAAAAATTCTTCCTTTCAGTGTAGAATTGTATTTACAAAGACATAGTTCACTGTGTCTTGCAAAACATGTGTGGAATTCGAATGCACGATATAGTTACCAATCCATGCCATCTGATTCAAAGAGGCGAGCGATGGAGGACGGTACGGCTATCTAACTGTAAATCTAACGCTTCGTGTCCGATCCGTAGACCATGCGAATCAAGTGCACCCAACTTGATGCACGGATTTGAGCGTTCAACCTGATGCAGGCTTGCGCCGGAACTGTTCAATACCGATTCTGTCCGACCTCGTCAATACGCACTTCAGGTACTTGCAGTAGCTGATTTGCATAACAAATCGATCCATCGTTTACGAGGCTGAGCGGTACTACCGTATCGATTCGTCAATATTTAAAATACGCGAGGAGGAATGTTATACAAGTTCATAAATAAAATATTATTAATTATTTTCTTGTATAAGTAGATCTAACATATATGTAAACTTAGTGATATATACAATATGACACTTATTCTAAAATAATTTAAAAGCTTTCCATCGGCTGCCTTCATTGGAAATTACGCACTATTCTCTACTTTTGTATACGTTTGAAAATGGATATTATTCTGTAAATTCATTACGTTTTTTAAAATTAAATAAACAATTTAGCTTTTTACTGAATGAATATTTCTGAAATAAATCACATTCCTCTTTTTGTCGCTCTACTATGCGCGAAATACACAGTAAACTAATTTGCACTCTTTGAAGTTAAATTAATAATTTAGTTTTGTATTGAATAAATATTCCTAAAATAATTCACATCCCGTTTTTCACGTAATGCATATGTGAACATTTACAAATACACTTATGCAATTATGCATAGAGAAAAGTGATATTATGATTATAATTGCATAGTAAAATAATTATAAATCAAACGTTCTATTTTTATAATTATTGCTGCTATAATATTATTAAAAATAATAATAATAATGATATTTATAAATCTAAATATAAAAATATAGCTAACATAAAAGATGTAATTTTTGTTTACAAATTTTGTTTACAAACTTTTCTCTCAATGTGTTAATTGACTTGTGTTTTTTAAAATTTAGGCCGGTATTCGTAATCCCTTCTTTTAAGTCTTATAAGTAATGTCTTAAGATGCTAATATGGCTTTGTGATATATAACTTATGATATCTTAAAATTATATTTAAGTCCATCTTAAGCATAGCCTTAAGATATCATAACACATAAATAAAAAATGTAAATTATTGTAAATTATTGTTTTGTATGAATATTGTTTAACATATTTTTTCTTCCTTAATAATTCTTTAATAACAAACCATAATATTCAAATATGCAATTCCATTGAAATCTTGCAATAAAAAAGTATTATATTAATTAAAATCTTGATTTTTTTAGAAGTGCTGCCACTACTAACATTTGTTTTACTTACACTCTTTTAAAAAATTAGAATATATAGAATATTATAAATCAGAAAATAATCAATAATATACAATATGTTGTTAATAATGATTTTAATTGGAGTGTACAAATTCTCAAGTGATCGTTTACAAAAAAAAATCAGATGACCTTTCCCGGATTAAATATAAGAACCGACTATAAATAGGTCATAATCTCGCACGCGAATATCAGAAATTAAATTATTCCATTGATTCAAACCTTGGAGGTAGGCGACTGCAGGAACGTCGCGATGCCTGCTCGTACTCTATTCTTCACACCGCGCACGGTCCCTTTGGCACTTCGTATGGCTTCCTTGTCGTGGATTTTATAACCAGCAAAACACTCGTCGTTCTCAGCCACTCCATGTTCGCCGTTTGAGTTCTTATTATTATCGCGCAACTCGTTCACGTGGAAATTGTAGTACCTGTCGTCCTCGTATAGGTATTTGTGACCAGTCGACCGATTCTGAGTGGCATTGACGCACTCTTCCTGCTCTATCCTTTCCTGTTCCCGTTGCTTCCTCTCTTCGTATGTGCACTCTTTAATTACCGGCGACAACACCGATTGGCCGTTTTGCTCGATTGCAGGATCAGGGCTCCTCACCCGCGGCGTCGAGGAGGCTTTCGACAAGGACGATGTTCCGGATGGTGACGGCGAGACGTTGGCCGACGACACCGGCGAGCATGGCGCGCAACCGAGTTCCGTTATTGAGATCTGACGATGAACGCCGTTCGATTCCTCGATCGTATCATTGACGCTATTCGTCAGCGTGATTCGGCCCAATTTCTCAACAACGCCAACTGTTTCCTCAACATCCTTCGGCATTTCGTGCACTCGATATTCGCTTGTGTCTTCGCCGTTCACTTCGGCGCCGTTCAAGGAGTCGCAGCTGATATTGCTCTCATTGTCGTCGCTGTCGACCTCGGCGCCGCTGCTAGTCAGGCTGCCAGTCCGGTTATGCGTGCTGTTGGACAGGATTACCGTACTGGAGTTCTTCTTTTTTGGCAGTGGCGGTGGCGTTCCGTCAAGGTCACTGCAAGTGCCACTGTCCAAGGTGTCGCTGGGCGAACATTGTCCGCTCGACATCACCATGCCGCTTAATGGGCTCTGATATGAATTGTAATAGAAACAGGCGCTCGAACGGCTGCCAAGGGTGGATGAGTTCAGGGTTTCAGTGGTACCGCGGTGCACCATGTCTCTGTTATCACTTCTGTCGTCGTCCTGGCTACGCTTATCGCTGTCGTCGTTGCTGTTGCTGTTGTTGTTATTGTTGCGCTCCTGATTGTCGGACCCAGTCGCTGGGTCGCCGCTGAAGACACTGATCCTCACACAGCCGTCACCAGCACCGGCACTCGCGCAGTGTCGCTCGTTCACCAAGTTTGTCGCACTCACCACCACCGCACCGTTGTCGCGTCTGCTCGAACGTTCGCGCGCGGCACCGTTCTCGATCTCGTGATTTCGATCGTTCTCGTCCAGGGTCAATCGTACGGTCGATATTACCCTACTATTTTTATCGCCATCCGGATTGATTTTAATCTTCACTATATGAGCGGCCTGCTGATGCTGCGACTGCTGCCACCGCTGCTGCCGCGACGATTCGACGATGTTGCTTCGCTCCTCGCAGCCACCGTTCGCCGATTGCACTTCCGGGATTCTTCTCCTGCAGGTTGTCACGGAATCGGCGGTAGGAGCGCTTACTCCGACAAATACCGTTGCTCCGGGCCCGGTGGCGAGAGGCAACGAGACGGAAGGGGAAGGGGAAACGGTCCGGATTGACACAGTCTGCCGACCGGCCTGGCTCGCATCCCGGGTCTGTGTCTTCGCAGATAATGGCGGAGGTACAGTCATCGTGATGATCTCATCCATACGTGCATACCAAGTTGCCAATGGCTCACTCCATAGGCTTCACCTTGACGAGGAATTTGGAAAGTTCAAGGATTAACTCAACAAGCTTCTTTCCTAACGGGGTTTCTCTTTCTCTTTCCTTTCATGGCTTTCTCTTTATTACAAGACCGAATCGTGATCAAATCGTTTTCATGATAATGCACAGGTTCTTTATGATAAAGTTACATCTATCCGATTGTTCAATAAAAAAAACATTAATCGTGCAGATAAAGCTACTTCCCGAAATGGCCACGCATTTTATATGGTGTATCTATTATGATTTATGGCAATATTAATTCACCGCAAATGCAGCATGGACAATTCGCTCTGAAACGCAACTGCAATACAGAACAACATAACACTCGATCAAAGTTGAGTGCCGTTGGGACAGACCGCTTTTCATCGACACATTCGTACGTTAAGCATATTCGATAACTAGCAACGCATTGAAATATTGTTTCTTTGTTATTGTCAATTTCAACTATTAAACTATTGAAACTATTATATGCTTTTAACCAATTCTTTTCGGTATCTTACATAGAATAATTAGACCATATACATAATCAAGAGAGAGAGAGAGATTTCAATTTTTGCTATCACAACATATCTTCAAGGTTTCCACAATTTTCAAGATATCGGAAAGATTTTTTATTTTATTATATTATTTTATTTATATTATTTTTATTTTATTATATTTTATTTTATTTTATTTTACTATATTTTTTATTTCGATCTTGATAGATCATATTTCACATATTACGATTATTGCGCAAGAAAAAATGTATAATACCTGCACGAGAAAATATATATTTTATAATTTAATTAATTTTGTATACTGAGATTCACAATTAAGGCTGCACCCTGTCATAGACAAACACTAATCACTCCGTGAAATTGTCCAAATTCTGACAATCAATCATGATTCGTCGATCATGTTTTAGGTCCATCGTACTCAAGGACGACGGAGATGGAAGAACCTGACGAATTGCATCGCCGTTCAAATCAGGTCGATCGGCCGAGTAAGGCCCCGCGGCTCCGCTCGTCGAGAAAACGTTAGCGTGCACCTGTGGTCATGCGAGATCGTGGATTATCTGCTGCGCGTGAAAGAGAGAAAGAGAAAGAGAGAGAGAGAGAGAGAGAGAGAGAGAGAGAAAGAGAGAGAGAGAGAGAGAGACTGATGGAACGTACGGGACTGGTACGCAAAAAGAGAAAGAGAAAACCATCCGTGAGATGAAGAAGAGAGGGAGACTGGGTCGTTCGGGACCGTGGAGAAGAGGATAACACCACTTATGGACCGCATATGTATATCAAGAGCGGCGCATAGTAAAACTCGATTACACTCGACTCGGATGTTAAAGCCGATGACAACGACGACGACGACGATGACGATCAACGGGTGATCGTTCACAGCACGGGACGTCAGTAACTGTACTGAGTGCCGCTGACACTCACTCATGCAGTTTCACGGTCCGGGTGGGGACTGGAGTCGGGCCCCGAGATCATGGGCATAGCGAAAGCGGGAGTGGGAAACTGTCTACAGGGAAGGTGTGTGGTGCCGATAGGAAGGAGGGAGAAAGGCGAGAATCGTGGAAGGACGAGAACGAGTTCTTTCCAAGCTTGGCTTGTAGTCGCCAGACAAGTATCTGCCTGGGTGAAGTGATAGTCGTGGCGTCCTCTACCGAGCCACCCGCTGGATTAACCATCCGGTTTCTTATTTAAATACCTGATTCTTTACCGTTCACTGCCTTTCACGTGGACGCCCGTAAGTGTATGTTTGTGCGTGTGTACATACATGATCATCCGTGTGCACCTGCCAAAATTTCACCGCTGATGCTACAGAATGTTGCTCCTCTCCTTAGCATCTTCGTTGGATCATTTCGCTGTATAATCCGTACACGGTGTACCCCGTGAATGGTGTGAATGGAAAGCACAATCGCCCGCAGGCTATATGCTCGATATCTACCTATAAACATCTCTTCATGATCGATAATTTCAGAACGTTGTAATATTCATTGTAGATGATACGTAGATACTAAAGAAAAATGTTGAGAATAAAAAATATAGAAGATTTGATTTACTTCAGATAATATATTTAATATTGGATATTTAACCCGTAACTAGTAATCCTTTCATTTTCTTATCATAAATACATCTTTGCGATTTAATATTTCTTTTAAGAATTTCCGTTCTATATATGTATAATGTCTTTTATTCTGTAGATATATCTCTACTTAACATACTTTAAACAAATATTTTTAAATACAAATATTAGGTTGATGCAGATGAAATGACCGTTTTTCTATATTGCTATTAAGAACAGTCGTAACTTCGTTAAAAAATGAAATTTTGATTTAAAAAAGGATTTTAAAGCTTGAAAACTCTACTTTCAGAAACTTACTATATATTTTTTTTCAGTTTATGAGTTTGATAATTTTTACATATAGAAAATTATCAGCTGAAAAAAATGAAAAAATTTCTTTTCACTTTATAAGTCTGTCATGTGCCTCTCAAAAAATTGAGAAACTTTTTAACTATCTATCATGAAAGATTGAAGTTTTCCCTGCAAAATTGTTTTTTAATAATGTTTCTATCTTTTGTTTCCTATCGTTTTTTAATAATGTTCCGATCTTTTGTTCCTAAGTATTCACGGATTAAGTAAAAGGAACATTCTAACTTTGATTGCTCATAACTCCGTTAAAAATCATTATATTGCAATAAAAAAAAATACAGATTCTTAAAGCTGAATCTTTGAATGGTGTGATCGCTAATTTTTTAAAAATATTCTAGAATATACTGGAATATATTATAATACGAAAAACGGTCATTTCATCTGCACCAA